CCACCTGATCACAAGCCAACCTCAGTACTAACATCATCATACCAACATGTATAAATAACAAATAACACACTAGAACGCCGCCAAACCCACTATTCAAGCATCTACTGTTTTGCTACTGTTCTTGACAGCAGCACTGTCCCTTCTCTTTTTCATAGACATTAAATAAAACATTCAAAAATTCTCAAGATTTACCAGATGATAGACAGCTCCATTATCTACAACTTTGGTTTAATAAGATTCGGCATAAGATATCTCCAAAATAGCCTAAACACCCTCTTAATATAACTAAAGTTTTCTGATGATCAGACCAGGACAGTAATATTATAAAATTCATAACTGAAGATATACTAATCCGAAAGTCATGTTCTATAACAATCTGGAAAGATTATGAAAAAACCTGCAGCTATTGTTCAGACCAAAAGTTCAAATTTGTCCATTATGAGGGCAAAAACTGAATGGAACTAAAATTGTCCAGAATCTCGTCACTGCAAAACAGCCTTCTTAAAATAATGATTTCTCCAAAACCACAGAGGCTATGAAGGTGATCTTTGAGTCAAAAGAAAGGTATTTAAGTACTCTAAAACTTTGTCCACGGTAGCAAAATTTATTAAGGCCACTAAGATACCGTAAAACAACGATGAACAGCAATTGCACAGTGTGACGGGATTTCAGATCATGGACGAGATAAATTTCGGGATTTCGGAATTACTCCAACTATGCCTCCTTCTAATTCAACAATTCGATCCACAAAACTTGAACCAAAGAAGTGGACTAGAATTCGTCATCTCACCTAGGGCAACCACAACGGGCATGGCGACAATCCCCGGCGATCCACTCGTCCCTTCCTTCTTCGTCTTCTCCACCTCGCGACGATCCTAGTCGCTACGACCGGGTTGCCAATTCGATCTACGTCCCAGGTGGTAGATCCATCAAGAACAGCCAGGGGACAACACATTGAGGGGCCGAAACAGAGAGGGGATGATGCCTAACCGTGACAAACAAAACTCCAACATCTGAACCCGATCAACACGTATGAGTAGTCGAACGGAAAGCATTTTGGCCTCTCTTTAAAAACATGGTCAACCTTAAAAAAACTTATTTCGTATTAAAATCCATATTTATGCCAAGTATTTTGGCGTGTTACAGATGTACTCATTGGATAATGTTCTGGTCGAGCTGTTAAATTTCATTATCAATAAGATTTAAACAACTTATTTTCGAAACATATAAAATCTCCACACATGTCACTGTTGTTCTATTGGTCCGTTCCTAGGTACTCTGTGGCCAGTAGAGTGCAAACCTTATTGATGCATTATAGACTACAAAATTTGGATAACACAAAATTACTTGTTTTGGGACAACGATGGATCAGGGACTATATATTTGTTTGACCCGTGTTTTTCACGGATCAAACACCTAGCAGATCCCGAAAAAGCCTGTCTGAATCTTGTGATGGTTCATACGGTGATGTGTTTGTCTTTAAATATGATTTGAAAAAAAAAGAAATTGTCAGAGCGTCAATTATTCAGCGGGGCCCACACGCACAGCGGCACAGTGCAGGTACGGTGTTCTCTCTGGCCCTTCACGAAAATTCAACGCGCTGTGTGTGAGAAAGATGGGGTACAGTCGGTGTTAAAAATACAGAGGACGGTCAATTCATCTTTTACTGTCCCTAGATCCCTACTCAGACTATCACACCACTTAAAATATAACATCATTTGTCTTTGGCCAACGCTATAGATAAAATGTTCAATACTTATTCGACATCTTCTCTAATAATAAGATTAAAAAGAGAATACTTTCTTTAAATGGATTTTAGGAGAGATGATGTCTATATCTGTGTTGTGCCTCTCAAGCAACCCAAAATAAATCTTCCATATAAGTATTCTGTTGGCGACTGATTTTAGTCTCTTGCTGTCCATTTTAATTTGTTATTGGAGACGGTCTCGCAGTCACACATCTGCGAACCGCGTGCTTGCACTATCGCAAATCAGTAAATTTCTTAGGACTGATCATAAAGAGCACAAATTCGGAGTTGATCGAACGCCTAAAAGCTATCCGTTTTACGGTCCAGGGTCAGATTAGTGATCAATGAATGGAAGGACGAGGCAGGGAAAGTTAAATCGCACGTTGTTAAAGAGTGCTGATGGTACGCTGCCTTTCTGAGCATCTCCAGCAATTGACTCTTAAAATAGGTTCCTACTTAAGATTTTCAGGCTTCTTCGATTTTTGGGATTCCATTTTCTGAGTTTAATTCTAGCAATAGCCTTTAAATTAAGGTTTCTATTTTTCTTGACCCAGATACCAAATCTCTTTGAGCTTGCCCATATTTTGGTTTGCAACCATACAAGACTTAAAGAAGGATGATCATCATGGTTGTCTGCAAAATTTCTATTGGCTATCCTAATTCACGTGGTTTCTTTTCGAAGACAAAAATTGGGGATGACATTCAGTCGCATAGACTGATAGAGCTTTTAACTGCTCAAGCTGCATGCATGTCTAAGAACAAGTGTCAGGTTGTGCCAAAAAAACCCTGTCACTTCTTTTACCCGATCTTAGCATAATCCAAGCTTGATTTCAGATGACATTTATTTATCCGCACTCACCCGATCAAATTTGGTTATGGATTTTTTTAGAGGGTTAGGTTTTGGGTCAGGAAATATATTTAGTGCCCGACTTGATGATTGTTGCAGGTCGAAAATAACAAACATCCAGTCTATACGATGCACCAGTCGGCCGGATCAGGTTATTTTTTGTCAGGTCGTATATAGTCTATGATCTATCAGGTTTCAGGTGTAGCAACAACAATCAGTTGGTTCTCTTGATAAGAAATAAGATATCACTTGATTTTTGGAGGACTTCCCATTCTGGTCAAGTACTAGCTTTCGAGGATGTTGATTGAGATAGAACGGCCAGCCAACGTCTCCAGCTCTCCATGCAATCCATCTAAACTTTGGTATGCTTTTTCCAACATTAGCATCCATAGCTTCGATCAGGTCCTGGTGAACAAAATGCATGTATCATCACTTCAGGTCCAAAACGGTCACGCCGGAATGACATTCAGAGTCAAGGCCGTGTTTGTTGCGACCAAGCTTGTCGGCCCAGGCAAGTTTAGCCTTCTTGAGTCTTTCTTGACTTATATATGTGAGTGGAATTGGCACCTTCACATTGTCGAAACGGTAATGCTTAGGCACGGATAGGCGCGGATGCCCGTCCGTCTCGACACCGCTTTCCGTTCGTGCGTGTTACCAGCCCAGCAGGCCTGTTTTTTTCTGTGTCTTCTTATCTCTCTCAGAAAATATCTCTTACTACGGTGCTCGCCTATCGCATGCTGCTGTCGTCTTCCTGCCGTGCACCCCATCCCGCGCTGCGTGGCTTCCCCATCCAGCGTCGCGCTCCATCCCGTGCCGCGCCCCCTCCGTTGCCGCGCCACGCTCCATACCCCGCCGCGCCCACTCTAGCTCATTGTGCGGCGTGGCCCCGCTGCTGCATGCGGTGCCCGTCCCCCGCGCGTGCCAAGGTGCTGCTAGGGTGCTGCCGACGCCGCCATTTCCCACCAGAAGGTTGTGGGCGCTGTCGATGCCGTGGCCACACCGACGCGTGACCTCATTAAGGAGATGTTGCGATGAAAACGCATGTTGCAAGTGTATGTTTAAAGTGTTTCAGACATTTTATAGGTATGTTGCACTTGTTTCATATGGATGTTGCAAAAATAGTTCGGGGATATTGCATATGTTGCAAATGTTTCAGAGGTTTATTCAAAATATTTCATCTGTTCCAGACTTATGTTGCAAATGATATAATCTGGATGTTGCATATGTTTCACACATATATTGTAACAATATGTTCTAAATATTTCAGTTGTTTTAGTCTTATGTTGTAGTAAGTGTTTTCATATTGCAAGTTGCAAGTGCTTTGTTTAGATGTTGTATAAGCTTTATATATATGTTATAAGTATATGTTTTGTATGTTTATCTATTTTATACGTATATTATATTTACGTGTTTCATGTTGTTCTGATAGTCAGAGAGCGTGGAGAAGTGAAGGTGGCACGACACGGACACCCGGGAACGGAGCGCGGCGAGTTGGGGACTGGCAAACGAGGCGTGATAGGCGCCAACGGTCAGGTGGGGGGGGCGAATGCCCTCGAATCGAGACGAACCAGGCGGGCTGCGCGTGTGAAGCGAGTCGTCCGGATAGGCCAGCGCTGTGACGGGGCAGCGTGCGCGTGCAGGGCGGGAAAAGAAAAATCAACGAACAAGGGCAGGGCTAGCACTGTCGTTGTCGAAAACAGAAAAAATCAAGCATGCTAGGGATCCGAAAGTTAAACTATTCAGCTGGTTCGTTTGCTGGTTTCGCCGTTCACGGCTTCACCATATGTATGCTCTGTTTTTATGAAGTATTACAGTATGATGCTATCCGTTATCCCGTGGTCATGCTGATTTTTTAGAGAAAAATATTATTAACTAGCTAATTTGAGTTGGAGCTGAAACCAACGAGTAAACATGCTCTATCCGTTATCCCGTGTTCATGCACTTCGGGTTTCGAGGAGTTACAGGCTGACAGCCCTAGTACTACGTCACATGAGTAACAGGACACACAGCAATGCTGAACGAGCGCCATCAGCCCATCAGTCAGGCAGTCCTACACCCATCACATCCCAGTTCCAGCTGTGGTTTCATCAGGGGCAAGAGAGAGAGAGCATGTAGAGGCCGTTCGGCTGGTTGTCAGCGGGCTGGCTGGTTTCCTCACTTATGAAATTACTATTCACATTCTGTAACAGTATTTCCGAACAGGCCCGTACTCTGCGGCCATCACATCCCAGTTCCAGCTGTCGTCTTCTAATAGCTGAGCAGAGCTGATCATCTCTCCTCCGCCCACTCCCCCACCGTTCCGTCCTCTCTCGCAAGAATCACTCTGCGGCAGTGCACTCTCCTCAGATCTCACAGCCAAAAAGAGAGGAGCTTTAACCGCCGGGTACGTTCAGTTCACAGGTAGCCATGGCCAGGCGGCGGCCACCACCATTCCCCGCCCGTGTCGCCGCCGCCGTGTTCCTGCTGCTGCTGACCCCCGCCCCGACCTCCCAGCTCGGCCTGGGCTCCGTCATTGCCGCCTGGATCCACGGCTCGCCGCCTCCTAGCCCTAGTAGCCCTGACGACACCGACACCGCCACCGCCTCCTCGGGCGCGCCGGCCGGCCCGCGGAGCCAGGAGTACGCGGCACTGCAGGCGCTGAAGGCGGCCGTGACCGAGGACCCCAAGGGCGCGCTGGCGTCGTGGCAGGGCGCCAATGTGTGCGCCTACAAGGGCGTGTACTGCTCCGCGCCGCCCGACGGCGCGGCAGCGGCGGCTGCCGGCGGTGCTGCGTCCACGGTGGTGGCCGGCATCGACCTCAACCGCGCCAACCTCAGGGGCACGCTCCCCGACGCGGTGTCCCTCCTGGCGCACCTCACGTTCCTGCACCTCAACAGCAACCGCCTCGGGGGCGCCGTCCCCGACACGCTCCGGGACCTGCAGTACCTGACAGAGCTGGACCTCAGCAACAACCTCTTCTCGGGCCCGTTCCCGGCGTCCACGCTGCTCATCCCGTCGCTGGTGTACCTCGACCTCCGCTTCAACGCCTTCTCCGGGGAGCTCCCGCCCGAGGTCTTCGCTAAAGACCTCGACGCCGTGTTCCTCAACAACAACCAGTTCGAGGGCCAGATCCCGGACACGCTGTGGACGTCGCCGGCCACGGTCATCACGCTGGCCAACAACCGCTTCACCGGCGCCGTCCCGGTGGCGCCCTACGAGTTCGGCGCCGGCGCCGGGACCGGTGGCCGGGTCCGCGAGGTGCTGTTCCTCAACAACAACCTGACGGGGTGCGTGCCCGAGGCGCTGGGGTTCCTCCCCAGCATCCAGGTGCTGGACCTGAGCTACAACGCGCTGTCGGGCCACCTCCCGGGGACGCTCTCGTGCCTGTCGGGGATCGAGGTGCTCAACCTGGCGCACAACCAGCTCACGGGCGAGCTCCCGGACCTGCTGTGCGACCTGCGCCGGATCACCAACCTGTCCGTGTCCTTCAACTTCTTCTCCGGGATCAGCCAGCGGTGCGACCGGCAGCTGGGGAGCCGCGGCGTGTTCGACTTCGTGGGCAACTGCGTGCCCGGGCGGGACATGCAGCGGCCGCAGCCCGAGTGCGACGAGTTCCCAGGCGAAGGCGGCCTCAGCTGCCTCCGTATCCCCGGGGCGCGCCCAGCCGGGTGCGGCGGCGGCGACGCGGCGGGCGTGACTATCGGCGTCGGCGTCGGCGTCGGCGTCGGGGGCCTGCCGTTCGGCCTGCCAGGCGCCGCCGCCGGAGGCGTGGTCACCGTCACCGTGCCCTGATCTGCCGGGGGGCACCTTGCACCTTTCTTCTTTGGTTTCTTTTCTTACTCTTCTTCCTTCCTTTGGGGGGCAATTAGCCTCGATCGGCTTACTGGGTGAATATTGGTTCGTTCTCGGCTGGTTAATACTCCTATCCTACTACTGTAGTATATATAATTTCGCCATTTTGTATGTTGTTTAATCAACACTTTGGCGCATTGCTCGTCCATCGGTCCATGACAGCGTACTGTCGCCGACGAACTGGGCGGCCAGCTGCAAGCCTCCAACGACGCAAGTGACTGTCGATAGGCATTGCTGTTGGTTGACACGAACATGGTGATGATGTCAAGTTGTCCTCTTTTCTTCTCTTTAGAGCTGGATGACAGAGAGCCGGAGAGGACCGATCGGCCGGAGGAGGGTGAGGCGGCGGCGGCGACCTGCGATGCGAGACAGAGAGAGAGAGAGAGAGAGAGAGAGGAAGAGGAAGAGGAGACGGGATTACAGGAGCTGGGAAGAAATGGATCTCGGAAGATGTGTTAATGGCGCCATGAATGCAGGGCACGGAAGTGGTTGGATGCAGCTAACTGCCACTATCCTACACAGTACAGCACACTGCACAGCGAGTGGCGTATGGGCCGGCCGTGCAGGGCGCGCTCCTCGCTCTCTCTCGCCATGTGATGTGTTGCTATCTTTTATAGGCTGTACGGTAGACCTGTACTACCTGTCTTGCGCAACCGCAAGGTGCTTCCGTGCTAGCGTCCGCTGCCACGACGAGAACGTAAAGTTTGCCGCTGAAATACGTGCACAGGCTGTGCCGTTAGATATGCACTGAGATACCACATTATGTCCGGACATACACCAAAATATGTGCACAAGCTGTGCCGTTAGATATGCTATACGTGCACAGCATGAGAGATAACTTATCAGCCCAGTTTATCGGTCATAACCATCAACCGAACGGCTTCAACGAAGAAACTACTTTGTAGTTCCTATGACATAAGATGCCACAACTACGAACTATTCTTCCCAACGCAGTATGTTTTCGAGAGACCTAGCTAAAAATCAGACCAATAATTCTTCTCACCGTTTCTCTCTCTCCTCCTATCCTTTGTAGCTGGCTTCGTCGCGTGGCACCACCACCTTCTCTGCGGTTCCGCCACCGCCATGCCCTTGCTCGGCGGCCGCACGAGTGAGGTCCGTGGAGTCAGGCGCGCAAGATCCATGCCGGCTGGGCCAGCTCCCGCACCCCTTTGCTTCCATCTGCACCACCACCTCCTCCCTCCTCCGTTGCTTCGCCATCGCCATGCCCTTGCCCAGCAGCCGCGTGAGTAACGAGGCGGCCGATTCAGTTTGTGGATTCACAGTTGATTCAGCGCGGGGCTTCGACTGTGTCTCAACCTCAGGTTCAGTAGTCTCATATGCCTCCAACACTACCGACATGGAAGGAGAGCCATGATTTTGATTTGCGTCGCCAGTATCCTACATGTTCAGCTTGGGGACAGGCTGAAACTCGAGGAAGGAATGCCAGGACAAGGAAGGGGACTGTAGCGCGGCCGGCAACAGAGAAGAGTGGCTGAGTCGACCATGTAATGAGTAGTTGGGCCTTTTGCTAGTGGGCTTATAATGGTCTGGCCGTTTGGGCCGTAGGCGGTAACGTCTGGTATAAATGCCGATGTCTGAACTCTGTCTTGGTTATGAAATTAAATAATTAATACCGTTGCTGCATTCTCTGAATCCTATCCCTATTATCCACTGATTCCACTCAGTTCCCGTTAGGCACAGATTCGGTGCATAACACTGGGATTACCAAGGAGATACTAGCGTTTCTTTCTTTGTTTTGGCTGCCACGTACAGCACCAGGCCGAAAACTCATCTGTCGATCAAAGGAGTAGGCACATATTACTCAGGATGAATTAGCACCAACAGTGTTCTGCATTCCCAATGGTTTGCATTGGTCGCCGGTACAGCCCCGTCCATGGACGACCTCATGAATCACACGTGTTAGGTTGATCTCCTCTGACTCAGTCCAACGATCGAGTCGGGCCTTGATCCCGCACCCTGATCGGGGGCGTCCAACCGAATCATGGTTGGTGGGCCCTCGTCGCGCAACGCCATATAAAGGAGGTGGGGGCCGGGGCACGCAGCACGAGGTTCACCGTCGCCGCCACAATCCCCACCTACAAACCCTAAACCGATCTAGAGGGGGCGCTGACAGCGACGGGAAGCGCCGCCACCGTCTTCACCGCCGCCTCTACGCCACGCCCGACGTCCACACCGCCGCCGGACGCAACTGCCTCCCCTTCGCCGGCACTCTGCGTCACCGCCACCGCCATGGCTTCCTCCTCCACCAAGCCCACCGATGGTCTGCTACCTCTACACCTCTCTCTCTCTAGTTCCTCGTCCTAGTTCATGTTCTAGGGTTACTTTATCCCAAATGCAAGCGAACTCACCTGCTAGATCTACTCCTAGTGATCCTAAGAATTTAACAATGGTATCAGTTGCCTACCTAGTGTGTAGATCTAGTCTGGCATAGTCTAAGTTTCAAGAAATTAGTAGGAGGTGATTTGATTCGAAAATCAAGAACTCAAACCCTAACCCTAACCCAAGAGAGTAAGGACGTAGAAGGGGAGGACTTACCCGGGGCCCCCGCCGCCGTCACCACCACCGGCCATCACCTAGACGGGGTGGGGGGGGGGCAGACCACCCAAGCCATCGCTCCACGCCACTCCACCGGTGCGCGAGCTCGGGAAGCTAAGGGCCTTGCCGCACAACCGCTCGACGGCGGCGCGCTCACCCTCCGAGGAGCGCGCGCACTGACGAGGGGGCATGCGGCGGCGCCACACCTTCCTTCGGCCGCCACGGGTGTGAAAGGTCCTTGTTTGGTTTTGGTAATTGAGTGACAACCTAGGTGGACTAATTGTGTTTATGTGAGATACACAGGTAATTAGTCCACAGGTACATGTGTGTGAGCAACATATGCCATGAAGGTGAAAATTGCTTGGAGATGTTGCAAAGCTCACACATGTGATGATGAAGGAGCTCATCGCACATGAGACATGACATTGAGTCATGTGATCAAGGTGGAGAAGATCAAGACAAGACTTGGCTTGATGGATCAGTTGCAAACGTGAAGGGAGGGTCGAAGGCTTTGGAGCAATGGACCATGTGGCGGTGAAGCTTGAGCAAGACTTGGCACCGATGGACGATGGCAACGGTGAAGAGCAAGTGAAGTCAAGATCGATGAACCAATATGATCACATGATGATATGAAGTGAATCATATCATTGTTGATCGTGTTGGTGCATGTGTTGCATCGACGTTGGAGGAGATGGAATGGAATGCGCAAGACAAAGGTATATCCTAGGGCCTTTCATTTCACCGGTCATAGGTGTGTAGAGAAGTTTATGACCGGATTTAGGATAGATGGTCGTACTATCAAGAGGAGCAAACTTGTTTGCATATCAGTTATCTAGTGCCACTCGAGTGATCTAACTTTGCATCGTCACTAGGATTGAGTGGCGTGGCAAGTTGAGTGGCTAATCCTTTGGAAAATTGATTGTGAAAATGCTAACACACATACACATGGTGGTGTACACTTGGTAGGGTTGGCACATTTACAAAGGAGATGAAGTTGGAGTTGATGTGGATCAACTCGGTGAAGAAATGGAGGCGAAAGGAGAAACTCCATCGGTAGAGTGTCCACCCATAGAGTGCGGACAGTTCGACGGTGCCACCGGCGCCCTATACAGAAAAGACAGGGTCGCATAGAGTGGACCAGACGCTGGGGTCCTGCGTCCGGTCAGAGCTGACGTATGGTGACGCAGGCAGAGGAGAAGTTGGAAGTGATCGAGTTGCAAGCCGGTGGTGCTTGTTACTCTTGGAGGTTGCCACCTCCTAGACGGCTTGGTGGTGGTCTCCGTCAAAGCACGCAAGAAGCTTCTGCGGAGCTCCGGAGAAGAGCTTTGTGAGGGGCATTGTGCTCGCCCCGCGGGAGCCGTGAAGAGCAACTTTAGTAAAGCGTGTCATTGAGCTACCCTCACTCGAGGGGTAGGTTCTTGCGGCGCCCGACGTGCGGGCTTAGCGGGTGATGCTAATTAGTCGCTGAACCACCAAGTGAGCGGTTGACACAACGGGGACTAGCGTGTTGGCAAACACATGAACCTCGAGAGAAAAATCATCGTGTCAACCTTGTTCTTCCCGTTGGTTTGCTTCCTCATTACACAAGCTTGCATTTACTTTCATATATATTAAGCTTGTGTAGTTGCTCTTGTAATTAGTTTGCTTGTGTAGCATATTAGTTACCTTCTTGCTTGTGTAGTATAGAAGTAGCTCCCTTGCGTGGCTAATTTAGTTTGAGTAACCTTGTTAGTCACATTGCTTAGTTTGTGTAGCTAAGTATTTGCGCTCTCTAATTTGGCATTGGTTGCCTTGTTATTGAGCATTGCTAGTGAGCTTAGGTGGCTTTGTGCTTTTGCTTACTAGCATGTGTAGGAGCTCCCTTGTCGCTTAAAGTACTAGTGGCATAGGTTTGTGTGACCTTGCTCCTAGAATTGCTTAGGTGAGCTCTAGCTAGCCCGACACCTTAATTGCTTAATTAGTATATTTGAAAGGTGCTAAAGAACATAGATAGAGGGGTGTAGTCTTGGCTAGACTGATAGTTTTAATTCCACACTTGTTTCGGTTAGCCGACACGATTAAGTTTTAAAAAGGACTATTCACCCCCCCTCTAGTCACCATCTCGACCTTTCAAGTGGTTTCAGAGCCCGGTCTCTCATTTGTGGTCTTCACCGACCCGAGAGGATGGCGAACTTTGGGCTAGAAGTTGTTTGTGACACACATTTTTTATGGCACACACTATGCACGGTGGAAACGTCATATGCTTGATCATTTCCGTGAATTGGGTCCCAAGGCTTGGTGGATCATTGTTGTTGGTTTTTCTCGTGATGCTTTGGATAAGGACAACCTCACCCAAGCACAAGAGGATTGCTTACAACTTGATCATCGTGCTCTTTATTATCTAA